ATACAGCCTTGTGTTTATGAAGAATGCTGGATTAAAATAGATCCATATTAAAATTCTAGGAACCAGCAAGATGGGGGTCCATTTTTACATCAGAATTTCTTCCATATTCCCTCTAACTCACTGGACACAGATTTAATTTAGCAAATATATCAATATTTAAGAGTCTTCATTACTTTTTCATATATTACTCATTAGACATTATAAAATATGAAAATTGCATGTGCTCTTTTAGAAGTATGGGATTCAATATCTGGAGGGCAGAAAATGTCTCCTGTTCGACTGTGAAGTTAATTTTTATTTCAATCATTCTGCAAAGCATTTTACTTTTTTATTATGGGACCAAGTTTTCATAACTTCATCATCACTTCAAGGGACTGTCATGTTAATATCTACAATTCTGATGGAAAATAAAAGTTCTTCCATATTAGCAGTGAGATTGGGCGATTCAGTAAAATCTTTCCCACAGCAATGGCCTTCACATATATGGAAATTCTTTGGATGTGAAGCCCCTTTAGGAACCTGTAAAGAAAGACCTTCAAAATGCAAAAGGACTCTTGAAGGCCATGCATATTATTTTATGATTTTATAACTGCTTGCATGGAGGTTAATGGCACTTGAGCCATATTGTTTTGGCTCACAAAATGAGGGTGATCTCATAAGACATTAGATGCACATGCAGCTTTAGTTATATAGTATGAATATAACCTAAACCAGTTTTAGTTGCCAAAATATACTATGAGGACAAAATTTGCCACCTCCATGCAGACTTGAGTTCCACCATTGATACAATGTCTGTCAAGGTGTCTAATAAACCATTCTGCCTTATTTTGTCAGTTACCGGTGCCTGAAAATGTGGACAAGATGCTTGCAGCTGTACAGTCTATTATATGCTTATTTGTGTCAACCATGGAGAGTAGATTAGGTAGATCCAGGGTGTAGCAAACAGATCATTGTGCAATTAGGTGGTTGGTCCTCACTGCCTAATGTCATAGTCTTAATTTTGTCTCTCTCCTTGGCAGTGTGTGGCTAATGTTTCCCTGGTACATATTTTAGATGCAAGCTTCACTAATGCATAAAAACACACACATGTGAATCTCAGAAAATTTGAACCCATCTTTGACACCACTGCCTCTTAGGGAATTGCAGCACCAGAGGATAGTAGCTTGAAGATGATGCATTGCCTTCCTTGGACTAAAAGGTATTCTGTCTCAGAAGCAATAGTAGAACCCCAGTCTCCCGCATGCTGCTGGAGACAATAGCTTCTAAAACAGACTGGGACCCTTTAAGAGGAGAAGCTTAACCTATCTGCTTTGTAGATTAAGCTACAATTCTACTTAAGGATCAGACTTCAGTTATTACAGCACATTCAAACCTGCCTCCTCTGACTTCAGCCCTAGGCTCCATTTGGAGATCTCCAATGTGCTACCTCCTTTTCCCATTTGCCTTCTGGACTTTGTTCTCTGCTTTGTCTGGCTTTGCTTGTTGGTCTCTAACCTGCTTTGCTTGAATTTAACTGGCGGTTAAAACCTCATTTCTGCTTGACTTATTGGGTTCTGAACGTCCCTGGGATCTGCACACACTTAATTCACTTTGGCTAGAATCCTGTCCTTTTTGGCTGACGTCACTTCTTGGGACAGAGTAGCTTAGAATTAGTTCAATTCAACAGTGATTCAAGAATTAGTGAGAATTCTCAAATGTTTTAGTGAGCTCAGGATTCTTGAGCAAAGCACAAGAAGTTTGTTGTTGTTTTTTAACTTAAAAAAATATATCAAACTCAGTCAATTTCTAGCACTTGGTGCCTGGTTGCTGCTGATTGTCAGAATGGGCACCTGTTGCCAGAAGGTGCTCAGGAAATTGGTAGCTCATATTTTCATGCTGTTGATGCCATAAACATTATTTTTTCTTTTAACCGCTGCAGGTTTATGACTTGGCCTCTCCTGTTGAGAAGATTGCTAACGGAGACATCAAACACTGGCAGTGTTTAGTGAAGCATTTGTGCTGTTCAGAAAGATTGTCTGCGTTTGGGGAAAATATGTGCAGGCTTATGAAAAAAGGAATATTCCTTTGTGTGTGCCTCTACCCATCCCTTCTGCTTGCTATGATGCAGAAATGTTTTTGTTGTTATGCATCGAAACTCTGCACTTTCCTTAGGCAAAATATAGTATGGAAATATCTTCAATAGGTTTACTCAAACTTAGTTGGCTACGCCCCACAGCTTTCCTGCTTCCAATGGATTGAGCTCCTTTCCCACCCTTTGGTAGTACTGTTCAGACCATTTTTTCTCCATCCTTATATCATGTCTCTGTTTATTCTATCATTACATACACCACAAGATTTTACATACAGTGAAGTAGCCAGCCTGGCTGTAAAAAAGACTATAAAGTGTGTTGTAAAAATGGGTAATATATGAGAGGCTTTATCCTTTAAAAAAACTGATGGAAATCTAGATATATACAGGATTCAGTAGAGGGGCTCTTTTTCAAGAAAGGGCATCCAGAACACAGAGGGCAAAAGTGAACACACGAGGCAGTGTGTGATGAAGACATAAGCCTTGATGCCACACCAGGCTCTAAATCCAAAGAACTATAGTGTGCACATATGGGGGAAAGCAGGGCATCATTGGCTGCTTTTGTCCAGTGGTACCCACTGCAAAAGACAAAATAACACACCGGTAGCCTCATTGGGCATGAGCACACCTGAAGCTAAATACCAGCTCTCCCCCCTCCCCAATGCAAAGCCACCAAATTCACTCATTTCCTCGGCCATTTTTGATGCTGCAATAGCAGCAACCTTCTGCACTTCAGTAGCAAAACGTTTTAGGTGTTGTGGAGTGTCTCTTTAGTTCGGAAAATAAGTGTTCTGCAGGACCTGAAATTTGGGGAATACTCTTTCCTAGCAGCAGTGTTTGGTCCCACTGATGGCAAAAAGGGACAGATGGCAATTCTAGTATGAAGCAGATCTTGTAATCATGAGATGAACTCATGAAAATTGTTATTAGAAAAGCAACAACGCTGAAACTGAATGCCAGTTCCAGAAGACATATACTCCTCTTTCACCTAATAGCTTGGATTACCAGGCATTTGCTTACTAGCTTTTGCACCTGTTAGCAAACGAGAATGCAAATGTGTACTTTCTGTCTTCTTTTTAATTAAAAAAAAGATTGAAGTTTTTAGTTTCTTAAGTGTGTTCTACCATGTCAATTGCTAGTTAGAACAATACTGATACCCACGCAACTTGCCTCTAACTCACTATCAACTGTGGTGCATCGCAACCTTAATTTCTCTGTCAAACTTCCAGTTTACGGTAGTCACCAAATGGGTGCCAAAAAGGGTAAAATGTAGTCATGTGACAGAAACATTTTTATCCTGGAAAATGTTGACTGTGCTAGCATTCAGAAGCATTTGAAATCCCAGTTATGAATGTTACATACAAATGCCACGCACTTTTTGCTATTTAGGTTGCAACCCCAAAAACTCCAGAGAAACCCCTTATATCTGGTTGTGGGCTAGAGGTTTGAGAAAAGACATCCCTCTAATTGCTTTTGTTGGCTGAGCTGAGCTGACCAGACACCAAATGTGTGGGCTGAAGGTTCACGGGCAGTATCCTTATCAGTGGAGCCCAGCAGAAAGCCACCAAGTCCGCTCCACTTCCCTGTGGGGAGAAGTTGCGGTGGACCACATGGCCACCTCCTCTCCTCCGGGGGCGGGGGATGAAGTCCCACCTTGCCCTGGGGATCCCGGCCAGGTCATCGCCAGCTGGCCAATCCTGGGGCTGGGGTGTGTGTGGCCGGGACCGTTTAAGCTGTGGTGCGAGCCAGAGGGCTTCCTCTTGGCTCGCGTCTTCAAACTCCCACCCTCCCTCCCTCTTTTACAGGTTTCTTTTTCCTTGGCCTTGCTATGGACCTCGGTTGGCTGCCGTTGAGGGGCCTGGTAGGAATTTTCCCACTTGGCAAAATTGGCATGGGGCCATTTGGTTTTCGCCTACCTTGTAGCAAATGTCACAACTTTGTAAGGTTTTGCAGTTAGGCATTGTTTGACCTTATGATGGGGGAGGACAGGTGTGGTCACCACCTGCCCCTCCAAGCTTAAGGGTATTCCGTTAAAGGAATCTGGGGGTGTTGTCTTTTCTGAAGCCCAGGGCGGGGCTAGGGCCATGACACAATCCTGAGGGGAACATCTCGGGGAGCTCGAGTTGGTCTGCATCGACGGGGCTCCCCTGTCTGGTGGTTTATCCTTACCCGACTTCCTGCGCAAAGGGCAGGAGTCAGATATAGTCGGGTCCATTCAATGCCTAAGCCAATACCACTGACAGTCTGTAAACAATAAAGTTGTGGCCAAAATTTGCCCAATAACATTAACATAATATCTGTGTCCTGGTGTCTTATTCTCTACGAGGGGGTGGTTGCGGAGTCTTGACACACAAATGAGGAGTTAGGAGGATGGGGCTGAGCTGAGCTGAAATTCACTGAAGCCTGAGCCACGCAGTCAGTGCCAGCCAGCATCAGGCCCAAGCCAGGTCTGTTTACGGTGCCAGCCTGGTTCTGAAAGTGTTGGTGCTCCATCTAGCACTCAAAGGTCTGATTCAATATATACTCAAGATGTGCACAGACAGCTGAGAAGAAGAATTCAATTTTATGTATTTATTTATTTTAAAAATATTTATATACTGCTGCATCATAAAAAAAATATATCACAGCAGTTTACAACCATATAAAAACACAAAATCAAAAAACTCAGTGGAAACTCTCCTGGTTACAGCTATTTTTGGTTTGGCAATTTAGAATGACTGCATTTAAAGAAACAGATTCGGGATGGATCATCTTTGCTCTGAAAGGGCATAATTTGCCTTAAACGTAGTTGAACTGCATTGGCTGTGTAGCCATGAAGCTACTATGTATTTCCTGAATAGCTGGTATCACTATCCTTGCTTTTGGGTTCTGAAGATTCATAACTGTTTCAATAGCCTTTGTTCTAAATAATGACAGAAACAGTAGGAAATGAAGCAGGATAGTTCAGTCGGTAGAGCACGAGACTCTTCATCTCAGGGTTGTGGGTTTGAGCCCCATGTTTGGCAAAATATCCCTGCATTACAGGGGGTTGGGCTAGATGACCATTGGGTCCCTCCCAACAATTATATGATTCTGTGTAGTAGTGACTGGAACAGGAGTGAGAATACCTTTAAAAGGTAAAGGTAAAGGACCCCTGACAGTTAAGTCCATTCGCGAACGACTCTGGGGTTGCAGTGCTCACTTTGCTTTACTGGCCGAGGGAGCCAGCATTTGTCCGCAGAGTTTTTCCAGGTCATGTGGCCAGCATGACTAAGCCACTTCCGGTGAAACCAGAGCAGCGCATAGAAAAGCTGTTTACCTTCCCGCCGGAGCGGTACCTATTTATCTACTTGCACTTTGCCTTGCTTTTGAATGGCTACTGTAGGTTGGCAGGAGCTGGGACCGAGCAACGGGAGCTTACCCCATCATGGGGATTCGAACTGCCGACCTTCCGATTGGCAAGCCCTAGGCTCAGTGGTTTAGACCACAGCTCCACCCACATCCATACCTTACTTCCACCCTATATTTGGGCACATTATAGCAACTAATTCACTTGTTGCTGCTGTCAAGGAAAGTAGGAGCAGGAATAGCTAGTGCAAAATTTCATAAGAATAGCTAACCATCAGATATGAAACTGAGCAATTACCACTAAGGATGTGTGCAACATGCAGTTCACCATTAAAACTGGATCTTCCACAATGAATTCTTTGCTTGCCCTTTGACAGGCTTAGGGCTTACTGTGCTTTTCCTATAGTGCATTAACCCTAAAAATAGACAAATTACTCAAATTTTGCATACCCATGCTTGGATGTTCAACACCCTACAGCAGCTACCCCCATTGCTTTCAGAGACATTGATTATCTTGTGATTAGGATCACAAGTTTGCTCATTAGACGATATTCGTCTTCAGTTGCAATACTGTGGGTAGGGGAGAAATGTAGGGATGTCAGTTACTGTGTGAATCAGCTAGATGGCACTCTAGCATAATAACAAGTTGCCCACTTTGCAGGCCACTGGAGGGAAGTTCCATGTGTACTGGTGAATGAGATTTAATAATGGCATAGAACTTTACACAAGTCTTCCCCTTCCCACTCTCAGCCATTTCAGCATATTCTGGGAATGCAATTTATAATCAGTGGGTTAGAGGCTGCGGGAATTTGTTCCTTCCACGGCTCCCTGAGATGCACCACTAATCCCTACCCCAATTCAATGTTCTTTCCTATTCTCCATGGCCTCTATGCTGTGGCCATTTGTAGTGCAGTGCATATAGCCAGAATGCATGTGGTCATCTGCTGATACTACAGGGTGTCACTAGTTGATGGGCCACTGAAGGCTGCTGGTGGTTTCATACAAATGGCTTCACTCAAAATGCAGGTAATCTCCCCTCTTCCTCATGAAATAGATATTTTAAAAACCATTCAAGTCACTTTAGGACATGGAAGCGGGGCCACAGATGTTCTTGGACTCCTGGCCACAGATTGTTTTAATGTTCTGCTGAGTAGCTACATCATTTAGGATAGAGTGTAAGTCCCCCACCCCAACCACTCCCTTGGAACACCCACTTTTTCAGAATTTACACTGACATAAGAACCACCCATCTCAGCTCAGCTGGCTAAGACCCAGCTACACCAGTATGTCAGACTTACAACAGCATAGCCCAGATACTGGCAATCGATCAGATAAACCAGAGATTCACTGGGTACTAATTCGTTCATCCTTGCTAATCTTGTGCTTGGATTGCTCCCTTAACTGCCAGTCTCTGGCCTGCACATCAAATACAATGCATCACAACAGATAACCAACTAAACAACTTTGCCACAAGCCTATGATACCTGGAAGCAGGGATGGATAAATCTGAAAATTTCAGGTTCGCTCCATTTCTCATTTTTCCAGTATTTGTTTCAATTTGCCTCATTTCTGCATCTGTCAGCAATTTTTTAAAAAAATAAAAATACAACAGAAACATTTGTCAGCATATCCATTCACATTTCTCCTCATATACACATTTTTGTATGCAATTTTAATATATGCATTTTTTTCCCCGCAAACAATTTCCCCTACTGTGCACTTTTCCCACTAATATACACTTTTGAGGATGAATTTTGTAATGAACCGGATTGCAAAATTCATAGAAGGGTACATTTTGAGGGTTTAGCTGCATTTAGAGCCACATATTACTTTGGGAAATATGAATTATGTAAGTGGAGCATGCGTGTATTAAAATGGGGAATCAAATGAAATTCTAACCTATCCCTATGTGGAAGTAACAGAACTTACTTCAAGAGTAGACATGTTTATGATTGCTGTTACATACAATCATCTGGAAAAGACCTCAATTGCGTAAGCAGGAAATAATATGTTAGAAATGTGGGTGAGATTATTTAAGTCTGCTGGGTCCTTAGAGGGTGGGTAGGTGTTATCTTGATGACTCTTGATATATCTTCCAGCTATGATTCCATAGCTCAATGCTTACATTTTCATCGGTTATGAGATGTGCATTTCCCTACAGACTCATATTTCGCAGAGAGGTGAAATCTGAATTCCCCTCAGATCGTGTATTTCATTTCTGACAAATATTTCCAGAGGACCTCGAATCAGGTCCCTGTTGCAAGGCATGCGGGAGATGAGCGTTCTGATTTTTCTCATTAGAGTGTTTTCAGACTTTGATTCTCATTATCTGCCCAGCTCTATGAAGGGGCAAGCCCTTTAAATTACTCGTTGAGTATAAATAATGCAGTAATTAGTCTCATAAACGCGCTCAACTTCCTATAAGAAAATAATTGTTCCTTCTCCTTATCTCTTTCACTCCTTTTTTAAAAAAAAAATTACCCTAATGAATCCACGATAACACCAAGCATCCTGATTCCCCTAGACTACCAACTAGCAAGGAACTTTATAAAGGAAAGCAGATACTTAAATCTTTAAAGCTAGATTATATTTGCTTCACTAATTTAGCGGAGGAGGAGGCAGAGTAACAACACCTCAAGAGCTTAAATCCAAGCACTGCTTTGTCCACCTTCTTTGTGCCATCTTTTCACTCTGATGTCCACTGCATCGAAACTGAAACAAGAGATTAGTCATTTTCCTTGACACTTTCTTTGAGAAACGACAGCTTCTTTGAAGTGCACCCCACAACCATTCTGCAACATCTGGGTAGTGTTTTTTTGTCTGTCTGGCTGTTGTTGTTCCTCCCCTGTGCTCATTAGTTCTGAAGAGCGGCTCCATCGAGCTCAGGCTGGTCCAACCTCTCAGACCAAGTGGACCGCGAGAGTACTTTGGCACAGAACCTGAGGGCCAGGCCTGAAGGTATAGGGCTATATCTGCACTGGCTCCTGGTGGAGTATTGGGTCAGGTTTAAGGTGCTGGTTTTGACCTTTAAAGCCCTATGTGGCTTAGGGCCCTCATATTTACGGGACGGCCTCTCCTGATATGCCCCGCAGAGGACCTTAAGGTCCATGAATAATCATAGTTTAGAGGTCCCAGGCCCTAAGGAAGTCAGATTATCCTCCACCAGGGCCAGGGCCTTCTCAATGATGGCTCCGACCTGGTGGAATGCTCTGTCCCATGAGACAAGGACCCTGCAGGATTTAACTTCCTTCCGCAGGGCCTGTAAGACAGAGCTATTCCGCCTGGCTTTCAATTTGAATTTAGCCTGATATTTTATTCCCCTTCCTTCCCTCCCCCTCCCCTTTTTATGAAGATTACCCGCTCTGGAATCCCACAGCTAATTCTCCCCTGGTCTCCTCGCTGGCCCAAATAGGACTAAGCCAGCTAGCCCTGGTGATCATCTAATGTTTCTTGGATGGATTTTCCTCCTAAATTGATTTTCAAATTCTGAATTTATTGTTATTTATGTTTTATACTGTATTTTATGCTGTTTTTTGTTGTATCAATTAAGTGTTTTAAATTTGTTGTTAGCTGCCTTCAGCCCAGTTTTCTGAACTGGGAAGGGTGGGGTATAAATAAAAATTTTTTTATTATTCTTATTATATCTGAAAATGTTACATTGAACGCATGGAAGTCAGGGGTGGGGCTGTGGGGTGGGGGTGGAGGGCACACATGACATCAGGGTCTGGTCCAGCAAGCATGATCCTGGTTCCCCTCTACTCTTTAGTGTGCATACAGAGGATACCATCTGAAGAAATAAGCACTATCTGTTTGCATGAAGCAATGTGAGACAGATCTATGTTTTCCATCATTTAAAACTTTTTCTTGCCCTCTATTAAAAATCCTGTTCTTTTGCTTCAAGATGTTCAAACTTCTAAATGGCACACACAGATATGGACCCAATAAAATATATAACCTAGCATTCTCTAATACTTTTTTCTGGTGTTTTGCTTACTGGTAGTTATAGTGCATAACTTCATAAGGCACTCAGATGTCTTGACAAATGAAGCGGGGGCCTTTAATCTACCTGTTTCATCCCCTTTCCAATGGGGAAGAAATTCCTGCTGTTTGTTTGCTTATGTACACAAATATAATGGGTAACGTACTGATCACACACTGTGCAAAATGTGTGTAATCATCTGCCAGTATGCCTCAATCTGAAAGCGGCTTTTGGATGTAATTTTAAACTTGGACCTCTTTTGAATAGATGGTATGAACATATATCATTAATTATCCACAGTTGCATTCAACAAAGGCCTATATTTGTTTCTCCCTGAGCTGCCATGCTGATATTCAGCGCAGGTAAAAGATGCAGGGAGTCATTTTTATGAATGTGTGGCTTAGGGTCATGCAAGATGAATCATTAGTGGGAATATTTAAAGGCTGCAGAAATATTTTTGTGGCAGATGTGTAAGATGAGGAAAGCTGCAGTCACACTCGCAATTATCGGCATATTCCCTGCTGAGTTGCGGGTGTCATGTGGAGTGCTCCTGCTAGCCTATGAGGTTACGAGTTCAAGAACCATAGCCCACTGCTGAAAGAAAGGAGATGGGCATGGCTAAAAAAAAAAAGTTCTTCCTTTCTCTTCCGTAATGTCACAAATTAGATTATAAACTCTTTGGGGCACCTCTGTTTTGCTTGCAAAACTCTGGAATGTTTCTTGAATATTATCCTTAATTGGGTGTAGGGGTAGGGGATAAATTCAATTCAATTAAAGGTGAACCTGCCTAACAACATCTTCTGAAACAAAATGTGAACAAAGAACAGCCTTCCTTTGAAATTTGCACTTATTTGAATTTTGCAATGCATTCTCTCTCTCTCTCTCTCTCTCTCTCTCTCTCTCTCTCTCTCTCCTATCTATCTATCATCTATCTATCTATCTATCTATCTATCTATCTATCATCTATCATCTATCTATATCTAATCTCACCTTTCCTCCAAGGAGCTCATGATGGTATACATAGTTCTTGTCACTCCATTTTATCCAAAAGGAGGGTCCCTGCCTTAATGTATTTTTAATCTCCTGTTGGAAGCTGCCCAGATCGGTTGGGGAAACCCAGCCATATGGGCAGGGTATAAATAATAAATTATTATTATTATTATTATTATTATTATTATTATTATTATTATGACCTATAGAAAGTATAGGTCAGGGGTCAGCAACCTTTTCCAGCCATGGGCCAGTCCACCATCCCTCAGACCATGTGGTGGGCCCAACTATATTTTTTTGGGGGGAAAGAACAAATTCCTATGCCCCACAAATAACCCAGAGAGGCATTTTGAATAAAAGCACACCTTCTACTCATTTAAAAACCACGCTGATTCCCAGACCGTCCACTAGCCGGATTGAGAAGGCAATTGGGCCTTATCCGACCCACGGGCCTTAGTTTGCCTACCCCTGGTATAGGTGTTCTTCCCTTCTTCAGGAAAGAAATATTTGTGCATTTTAACTCTCTCAGAGTAAAGGTAGCGAGTATAGCCTGTAATACCCCTGACTCGGGGCGGCCTGTCCCATTTAACCACCTTGGGATTCTACTGCCCAAGGTGACTGCCATCAAACGACCTCATATTATGGGCAGCCCTGCTCTTACCACCACCACCACCATCACCAGCTTTCAGATGCTACCTTCTTAATCCTACCAACAAAATGGTTATAGGAAAAGCAGAGAGATAGAATGAAGAACACATACACAAACTTGCACAATGTATTTTCTTCTGCATACCTTGGCTTGTTTCAGTATTCAGAAGTAGCATGTTAACATACAAACTGTTCTGCTGAAACAGGTCAGAGTTCCAACATCTCTGGCCTGCAAGCCTGCTCTTCTCTACATTCAGTCAAGATTTTCTTTCCACACGCACATGAAATATTTGTGAATGTGTCTTTCCTTCCAAAGAATTCTGCCGTTGAAAACTGTTGGCTTTTTGTTTTTAGATAGGCTTCTCCTAACAAAGTGACGTATTCTTTTAGTAATAGCCAAAAGCTGTTAATCTCCCTGCTTCCAAATGAGGGTTTGCTTTCCTTTTGTGTGTTTCCTCCTCTCCCTTCCTCTCTCTTTTTGTTTCCTTTCAGAAGCGTTAGCAAAATTTAGAAACAGTTGAATTGGTTGACGATGCCATTCTAGTTTAACCATAATTAAGATTAATTTTTATTTAGCAAACAGCTTTGCTGCTGAAGAGTTCAGACTACTGTTTGACATCATAAATCATGATTAGGAAGCAGTGAAATGCTTACACCTCCCCCCCCACACACAAAAAGAGGTTATATAAATAAAATATAAAGAAAAACATAACACATTAATAGCTACAGCATGTAATTAATTATGAAATTGCAATCCCTTTTTGGATTTAGGAATCCAAAATCTCCCCCCCCCCAAAAAAAAGCATCCTGGGAACTGTGGTTTGTTACTGGTGCTAGGAACTGTACCTCTTTGAGAGGTACAGTCCCCAGCATTCTTTTCTTTTGGCGGGGTGCTTTAAATGTGTGTATGAACTCATTGACACAGTTTGTGCATCCCCCACCCTCCTATTCCCTTGCAAAATACAAAAGTGGATAAGGAGAGAACCATGTAATGTGGAATATTGGGGATGTCTCTCACTAAGAGAAGCTAGTTTTAAGCTAAACCAAATTTTGGCAAAGCCTCTCCTCTTCCCGGAGGGGAGGGGTTGTGAGCGGGAATCGTTTCCCGTACTCGCAGGGTGTGTATAGCTGGGCCCCCTGCGCCAATGGAGTCCTGGGCCTGCGTCATGCACCCCAGCCAGCCAATCCAGCTGGCTGGTGGGTGTGGCTTGGCCGTTTTAAAACGGCCGCGGGCCCACGAGTCCTTCCTTGTTTCCAGGCTTCCTCAGATCACCCTCCCTCCCTGTCACAGGACTGCCAAGGAACACATTTGAGTCAAGGGGAGGAGAAGAGTCAGAGCGGGAACAGTCAGAAGGAGACGGAGAAGAAGTGATGGGAGGGGAAGAGGGAGAGAGCCAGGAGGTGGGAAGACTCTCAGATGCTGAAGCAGAGCCCCAGCACCACACAGGGAGCTCAGGAACAGGCGGAGAGCCTATGCCTGTGCCTTCAGCACAGGAAAGGAGAGGGTTAAAGCGCAGGGATCAGAGATGTCCCATGAAGCTCCCCCATCTCTTCTGTTGGAGGAGAAGCAGGAGAAGACCACTCCCTGAATCTGAACCAGACGATTCGAATGCATGATTGTACTGTGCTGCTTGTACATATGTAAAATAAAGAATGTAAATATCTCTCTGCATGAGCAGAGGGTGCTTATTGCGAAGAGCATACACAAACCATCACACTCTCTCCCTCCCTCCAGGTTTTGCTTCTGCACCTGACCTTGTCATGGACCTCGGTTGGTCGCCTTGGTTGTCCAAGGGGCCTGGTAGGAATTTATTCCACTTGGCAGATAGCAGATCATCACAACTTTGTAAGGTTTGGCGGTTAGGCATTGGAAATATGTTGTGTGTTGGAGGGGAGGTTGTGGCCATCACCTACCCCTCCCCTTGAAGGGTATTCCGTTAAAGGAATCCGGCGGTCGTGGTTCCTGTCCGATGCCCAGGTGGTGGCTAGGGCCATGGCCTGACCCTCCGGTGACTCTAGGGGAAAGCTTCCAGTTGATTCGCATCACCAAGCTCCCCCTTGTTGGGGGCCAGTGTGGTGTAGTGGTTAAGAGCGGTAGACTCGTAATCTGGTGAACCAGGTTCGCATCTCCGCTCCTCCACATGCAGCTGCTTGGTGACCTTGGGCCAGTCACACTTCTTTGAAGTCTCTCAGCCCCACTCACTTCACAGAGTGTTTGTTGTGGGGGAGGAAGGGAAAGGAGATTGTTAGCCACTTTGAGACTCCTTCGGGTAGTGATAAAGTGAGATATCGAATCCAAACTCCTCTTCTTCTTCTTCTTCTTCCCCTACAAGTTGTTAACCCTTGTGTGACTCCCTGCAGAGTGGGCAGGAGTCAAGTATAGTCTGTTCTCATCCAATGCCTAAGCCAATACCTCTCACATTCTGTAACCAATAAAGTTGTTGCCCTTTTTAGCCCATTAACCTAAAATACTTGTGTCCATGTGCCTTATTTCATCATGAGGCAGGGAGCGGGGCCTCGACTCACCAACATTTTAGCTGCTCCAAAGTGAAGGGAGTTTATTTACAACACACACACACACACACACACACTGATTCCAAGGTTTAGCACCATCAATTCTTTCAATTGGGTTTAAGTAAAAAGTGTCTATGGTGTTCTTACTTTATTTTAAAGTAATAACAGAAAATAAATTCTTAGAACTAAAGGGGGGGGGCGGATAAAATTAAAATCCCACTTCTTCAAAAAATTACAGTCCGTTGCCACACTTGCCTTGCAAAATAACTGCCCTACAACAAACAAGTCTTAATCCTAATAATAATAATAATAATGCTGGCAATTGTTGTACTTTTGCTGAAGAGGCCAGTGCTGTGGTAAGCCCTCTGACAGTGAGAGGCAATCTATTCATAAACGATTCTTCCTTTGTGTGTAATGAGTGGAAGCCATTTGCAGCACAGAAGTGATTGAGTAATGAATGGATTTAACATGGAAAGATGAGGGGGAAGGAAATAAAAGTGCGCTTGGGTGTAACAAGAACGTTAAAGGGGGAAGAGTGCTGTTGGAGGATGGCTGCTTACTTTAGAGGTTATAATAAAGGCAGGAAGTGCCTACTTTTTTAAAAAAAAATGAAAACATTTATAAACGACCCTTTTCTTAACAAGATGACTATATTTAAAGAAGCCTGAGGAGGATTTTCCTACACTTTGCCTGTGTGCATACATATTACCAGCTTGAAACAGAGCCAGGTAATTCTCTTTTTTCTCTCAGTTTCGACCAAAGCTGAGGGGGTCATGGGGGTGGGAAACAGGAGAATGCATGAAAACATAAGGTGCAGGGTGCATACGGATTGTGGCTAATTTCATGTTTACACCACTTCCTGATCTGTATGTATAGCTAGCTCCTGAGTCAAGTGGAAATATTTGAAGAGGGAGCCTCCTGTAGAGTTGAATGGGAGGAGCAAGCTGGTGTGGGTCTGGAGGCCTAGGCCAAAGGAAGACATATTCTAATGACCATGCATTGGGTTGGGGGAAAACATGATGTTGTAATACTAATTCCCTCTCCCATTATTATTATTTTTTTATGATTGCTTGCTTGTTTGCTCTGTTTATTACATTTAAATTCCATTCTTCCTCCCCAAAGCGCTCAATGCTCCAAACACATCTGCAATACAAAGACAAATAAAAATAAAAACGCATTTAAAACATTTAAGAAATGTCAAAAACATCTAAAAGCAGTAAAATACCTGAAAGAAATTTGAGAACAGATGCCACCAAATCATGTGTCAGAATAAGCCTGCCAAAACCGAAACATTTTCAGCAGACCTCGAAAGCCTAATATCCATAGGCAAGGAGTTACACAGTACAGGTGCTGCCACTCTAAAGGAATGTCTAATTTCAAATGCAGAATGGACATTGTGTGGCACGTGTTGAGTGCAAATTCCATGGTAAGCATTTATATTTGGTTGGGACTCACTCCCATTAATGTTCATTCAGCTCAGGGTTTCCCCAACTTGGGTCTTCAGCTGTTTTTGGACTACAGTTCCCATCACACTGACCACTGGTCCTGCTAGCTAGGGGTGATGGGAGTTGTAGTCCAAAAAATCAGCTGGAGACCCAAACTGGATATACCCTGATTGAGCTAATCATAAGAAAATTACATGCAGCAGGTTTTTAAAAAATGTTTATTAAAGGTTTTCATGAATTACCCAAGAATGTGCAATGTCTCTTTTGTAGCCATTTTGATGAAGCTGAAGCAGTTGCAAGGGAGATGTATGGAAAGTTTTGAAAAGGAAAACAAGGCACAGGATACCTAGTTAGCAATGGTGTGTGGTGAGGTGGGTTGTAAAGGTGACCTTACAGCATCCCAAACCATCTTTTGTAGGTAGGGCCTATAGCTCAGTGATCGAACAGGTATATATAAGCAGGGCAGCATGTTCAATCCTTAGCATCTTGGATTGTTGTTGTTTAGTCGTTTAGTCGTGTCCAATTCTTTGTGACCCCAAGGACTAGAGCATCCCAGGCACTTCTGTCTTCCACTGCCTCCCGCAGTTTGGTCAAACTCATGCTGGTAGCTTCGAGAACACTATCCAACCATCTCGTCCTCTGTCATCCCCTTCTCCTTGTGCCCTCCATCTTTCCCAACATCAGGGTCTTTTCCAGGAGTCTTCTCTTCTCATGAGGTGGCCAAAGTACTGGAGCCTCAGCTTCAGGATCTGTCCTTCCAGTGAGCACTCAGGGCTGATTTCCTTAAGAATGGAGAGGTTTGATCTTCTTGCAGTCCATGGGACTCTCAAGAGTCTCCTCCAGCACCATAATTCAAAAGCATCAATTCTTCGGCGATCAGCCTTCTTTATGGTCCAGCTCTCACTTGGGTTAGCAGAGTTGTTATAGAACCTGGCCTGAGTTTCTGGAGAGGCACTGCCAGGCAGAGTACGCCACACTGGTCCATATGCTCCTATAGCCCAGCTACATAACTTACTTTTTCTATACTAGCTATAATGCAGCCTTCATGAACCTGGTGCCTTCCATATGTTGTCGGACTCCAACCCTCATCAGCACCAACCAGTGTTGATTATGCGAACAACATCTGGAGAGCACTAGTGTTCGGGAAAGCTCTTACAATGTGTCTTGTAACTATGATATGTAGCAATTGCATTGTGTTAAACTGCTCAGGCTTTATGATTCAAGGCAGATTTTCAGAGCTAAAGAATCATATCCCAAAACCGAAACATTAAAAGTCTCTCTTCCTTGGGAGTTAATAAAATTCAACTCTCATTTCATAGTTGATGCTAATGATTTGGCACTTTTTATACTTAGAGGGATGCCTAATTCAAAGCAAATGTTTTCCAATTATTACTTGAAGGCTTCATTAGTTCCCCTAATTTCCTGTTGTCTTTGGAGGGATTTGCTCAGGTGAAAACTTCCATTTAGCTTTGCCTTGTTAGACACCCAGTGAAACTAGACTTTGGAAGAATGCTCCTTCTGAATGGACAAATGGCAGAGGAACACTTCGATGAATGAAAGCCACAGTGGTTTTGTTCCCTGTGGGAATGTTCTGGAACCATCTTTTAATAGAAAAACATTTATACATGTTCCACCACCACCACCTCACCCTGCCATAAACTTACTGGTAGCATATTTGTCAAATCACTTGAGGAAAGAGCTAGAGCTGCCTAGAAAACAAGGAAGTGCTAACTAAATTCCCTTCCATCTTCCCCAGTATTTCAGCAATGACTTCTGAGAATGATTTGGATATCAGGGGGACATTGTCTATCACTAGATATACCGGGTTTTTTGCTCTATAAGACTCACTTTTTCCCTCCTAAAAAGTAAGGGGAAATGTGTGTGTGTCTTATGGAGCGAATGCAGGCTGCGCAGCTATCACAGAAGCCAGAACAGCAAGAGGGATTGCTGCTTTCACTGCGCAGCGATCCCTCTTGCTGTTCTGGCTTCTGAGATTCAGAATATTTTTTTTCTTGTTTTCCTCCTTCGAAAACTAGGTGTGTCTTATAGAGCGAAAAATACGGTATTCAGAATTTCTCCCTGCAAGTAGCCTTGTGGATACTACTCTATGTGATGTTAAGGGAAGAGAGTTCAAAATGTTCATTCCCCTGTGGGAAGTTTGGCCACATTTTAACATCAAGTTCTGTCCCTTCAGGCTGGTCCTGAGTAAAAATGCATTGTGCACCCTGCATACCAGTCACACTAACTCGCCAAAAGCCTTGGAGAAGGGGAGAACACTCACTTCCACACCGGAATGATGCCACAAGACCTCTCTTTTGTTAGCAATGACATATGCTAATGGATCATAATTCTCTGCTTCGAATCCGGGGACCTACAAAATTTATCAGCAGGAAATACTCCCCAAGGCATGTGTTAGGAGCAAGTGGAGGAAGAAGCTAGGAATCCTTATCCAGTTCAGATTTTAAAATATTCTTTTCTTTGAGGTGAGCTTTAAAAGTCCCCAAAGCTGACATTCAAGTCCAAGCTCATTGAGCTTTCCTGGCATCTTGAGTTATTAGTGACACTTTAATCTTTACTTCATCCAATAATTATCAAAGCTTTGCCTCTTGTTTATATAGCTTCCTGCTACTTTCCCTGCACTGCTCACATACTTTATCAAACCTAGAGGGCTGGCATATTTCTCTGCATTTTGAAGAGGATTTTATTTGTATATATTTTTTGCCTTTAAAACCAATTAACAGAAGAGGAAGAAAAGTAGCCGTTTCATAATGTTGCCAACATAAAAGAACTGAAGCATTAGGCGATGACAGGGTCCTATGTTATTCTGGTGCATTAAATTGCTCCACGCGATGCTTTAGATGTGTGAAAAACAGAGTTACTAAAATCTTCATCCCATGGGCTGTGATTAGCCTTGCTGAAATTCCTCTACTAAACAGCATCATGATGTTAGCCTTAGTGATGCAGCCAAAGAGCTATCTAATTAGAAAGTCAAACGAAGAGACGTATCTACTGGATTAGTGCATCAGTATAGCAATATCTTTCCTAACCCAAACACAAGTAGTGTTAAACCTTTTATGTTTTATATCCGTTACCTCCAGGCTCAGGACAAATGCCTCCGAATATCTATTATTTAAGTGGTGGCAAACAACAGAGAGGAGTATTGCTTCTTTAGATTTCCAGAAGCTTCTAGCAGGCTACTGGATTTGTTTTTATTTTAACAATTTGGCATACCACTTAATTACAGTCATATCGACAGGAGACTCAGTACAACAGATCTAAAAATGAATTAAAATGCTGGATTAGACTCTTGGCCTAGATGGACCTTCTTATTTTCTTAGCAGCCTTGAAGACGCAAGAAAGAAATCACACTTAACCGCCTGCCCCCCTATAAAATCTTAGTCACAGTTGTTCTATATAAGGATAATATTTTTTCCTCTTTCTTTCGTATACTTTCACTTTGAAATTTTATCTTTGAAAAGTTTTTTTCACATTTTTGTTTTCAGTTTTTTTTAAAAAAATCTCTCTGTTAGTTACTGTGAAGTTGGAGAAGCAATTAAGAGGATGGCTACTTCAAATCGGCTTCCAGGTGGAAAAATCAAAACTAGAAACAGAATTGTTAGAACCCAAAACTAAGATTGTGTCAAAGATGTATAACTTGCTGCTGAAATGGAATACTCAGGATGAAACGGTGAAATCTGCTATGATTAAATGGGCACAAGACGTTGGACACAACATAATGATGGCTGACTGGGAACAGTTGTGGACCACAGGTATGAAGTTTACGGCGTGTAATGCCTTAAGAGAGAATATTATGAAAATGATATACAGGTGGTACATAACCCCAGTCAAGCTTGCAAAAATCTACCATTTGCCCGATAACAAATGTTGGAAATGTAAAGAAACTGAAGGTACATTCTTTCACCTTTGGTGGACGTGCCCAAGGATTAAGGTTTTCTGGGAGATGATTTATAATGAATTAAAAAGGTATTTAAATATACCTTCTTAAAGAAACCAGAGGCCTTTCTCCTGGGCATAGTCGGCCAATCGGTGTTAAAGAAGGACAGAACTTTCTTTATGTATGCTACAACAGCAGCAAGAATACTTATTGCAAAGCATTGGAAGACACAAGACCTACCCACACTGGAAGAATGGCAGATGAAAATGATGGACTACATGGAATTGGCGGAAATGACTGGCAGAATCCGAGACCAGGGAGAAGAGTCGGTGGAAGAAGATTGGAAGAAATTTAAAGACTATTTACAGAAATATTGCAAAATTAATGAATGTTAGAATGATGTTGGATTGAAGTTAAGTGCTTTCTAGCTGTAATGGTAAAAGAATATGGAAAAATTGGATTTTCAATAGGTCAAAACTTAATGCTATAATATATTAAGATTAAAGATTAGGCTAAAATAAGGAGGGAAAGGAATTGCTGAACTAATAAATTGAACTGGAATACAAAAAAGGGAGGCATGAGGAGGTCCAGGAAACAAGTAAATGAAAGATAAGTGATGAAAAGATGGAATTGTTTTTAATTGTTTTTTTTTTGTATTTTGTATTTTTCTTTTCTCTAGTTTTCTTTTTCTAATCAATGTAATCTTTTTTTGAAACTTTAATAAATATCATTTTAAAAAAAAAGAGGATGGCTACTTCAGTTCTTGTGGAGAATATATCATTTTAAATATAAAAAACTTATTGCCTGTGAAGCAATGAATTTGATTCATTTTCTGTAGAATTAAAAGAAATGCTCATTGAAAATACGCACATGAACTGCATTGCTTTCTGTTTTAGGCATCATTCTTATTTAGGATGGCTCGCTTGTTTGAGCTACCTTCTGCTAGGAGTACATAGGATATAGTTTTTATTTATATCTTGGAAAGACAAAGGCCAATGTATACAAAACCCTGTTGTGCATTTGGCTGTGAAGAGGTCTATCAAGATTACTGTGAAGAGGCTTATTAAGAATGTGCCTTTACCTAAGTGTTGCCAGCTTGGAGGCTGGGATCTGTCCCAGAAAATAACTACCTCCAAAGCATTCATGTTCCTTAATTGCAGCGGATGTTTCCTGAATGTGCAGCTCACCTGCAAGGGTATGGTTTCAAGGCTACATGATGTTTCTCAAGCTATTATTATTATTATTTATTAATTAACACTTGTGTTGGTGTACTTTAAGTCACCACAGGCATAGGGTAGGGCAGGAATCTGGATTGGAGTCAGGCATGAAGGGAAGGGGATCACCTCAGCATTTACTTTTAAAAATAAAAATAGAATAAGCATGCACTTGCTAATTGCATGAATAACATCATTTGTTTGTACCTCAGGCCACCATAAACAGTTTATGGGCTGGAATTAAAGTGCTCATCTTAATTTTAAAGCTGCATGTAGCTTGGAACCAGGATTTTTAATGAGCCAGGATTTCACATGAGCTCCCAAGGAACTGTCAGCATGCAGAGGGTCACAAGGCCAGCTGGCTAGCCCCAGCTGAGTCGTCTCCTTCCAGCCGTCCCGCTGCAAAGACCCATTGGCCTCTGCTCCAACGTAAATCAGCGACCCGGGCTTCAAAGCCAGGGCACACTATATCAGCCGAGTGAACTGCACACACAGAATAGGCATGAGGCTTGTGGAAGCATACTACAACTACAGATTTATTAATCATAAACCAGGACAAAGAAACATGTTGTCTCTTTCTTTGTCTTCTCAGAGAGACAGAGAAAAGCAAAAGCTATTCACACAACAGAAGTTCCCAGCAAGCTGTGCTGGTATGTAAACAGGCATGTGACATGCAACAGTTCCATGTCTGCAGCTAAAGGTGGAATAAAATTTTCCAACAGGAACTGCAATCAGAAGATGATGTCCTTCCTTGGTTTCCACCAGTTTCTGAGATAATAATTGCTCTTATTAGACACAGAGTTTCCTCAGTGGTTTCTGCTTGCCCATGGGATTCCCACCCCACCCCCCGTTGAAGGTGACCTACCAGATCTATGCTAAAATAGTGCTAATTGAAACCTTAAAATATTGTGGTAAATAGGGGGGAAAGCCAAGGGAGATATTTGCTTGCATAATATTATGGAAAACAAAACTCAGCTTCATTTCTGATTGGCCAAGAGGTGGGAGGGGAGTGAAATTACCTGCATAGGTAAATCTAATTAGTGACTAGGAGGAGAGTTGGAATAATGATGGAGAAAGAGCTAAAAACCAGGAAAATGACATCAGTCTAGAAAGCTGCAGAGGACTCATGTGCCAGAGACAAAAGATGCTCAGCTGGCCAAGGGATTAGGATGAGCTGAAACTGCTTTAAGTAGAGAGAAAGTCTAGATTTAGGTATATATCGATGTGTCTTTACTGCTCTTATGTTTAATTGTTAAAGCTATTCTGAAATCTGCCCCTGCTCAAATTGCTGCCTTTCAAAAACCTTCAGTGAAAGTTAATTTTCTTCTGGGTTAACTTTGGTATGATGCCTTGTGTTTTACCCTGTGCCTAATTGTGTTACCACACAGCACTGTACAGTGAGTGGGCAAAGTCAGTCAGTTCCAGAAATTAAAGGGCTGTTTAATGAAAGCCAGGAAATACCTATGTATAAACCACTTGGGGACAGCAGTGAGGACCAGAGAGGAGATTTGGGTCGCTGGTTTGCTTCCTTCCAGCAGTGTGGGCTGTAGCAATTCATGATGCATGTGAATAAACTAATTTTTTTTTATGCCAGTTGGCTCAAAATATGTTAGGTCTGGTGTTGTATTAATTCATCCAGTACTCACCGCACTCTGCATCTATTCCAATGCATGTCTGTGTTTCGTTTTTCCTACTATTCTTATTTGGAGAACTCTCCTCTTGTCTTACTACTGTGAAGCAAATGATAAATGAATACCAAGTGAGGAGATGCTCGAATCTCATTGCTTCATGTTGTTTCATAGGTCTGGAAGCAAGTACAGTTCTTGGACAATGCACTGAAGGACATCCAGGACATGCTGCAGGAAATGACCATTTAATTAAATATCACTGACCTATTGGTAGAGATATTTTTACTTGCTCCAATATATTAGCTGAAATTCCTCTCACTGTATTTTTCGGCGGCACGCCTACACATTTTTGAAAGTGACCCTCATTCCTCAGTGGTGTGTCACAGGAAAACAAATCGCAACTCTTTGCCATTCCCTTTCAATGTCAATATTGCCTTAGGGGCTGGCACTTGGCAGCTTGAGATGGCTCGACACTTCTTGTGTCTGAGAAGAGCTTGTCAGCAAGATGGAAGACCTTCCCCGGCAAAAATCTTCGCTTCCAGGTAGAGGTAATGCAAACTCAAATTACCGTTTGGCCATGTCCAAACATGAATGCGTGAGGGGGAGAGGAGAAGGGGGAAAAGTACAAGTAGCCAGGATGAAACATGTCCTTTGAGGAAACGTATTGGTACCTCGGGACATGTTTGCTCAGATATGGACTAGCCTGAGGCAATGAGTTGTTCATAGCTATAGTCCAGAACCAAAGCTTTTGTGGCTCCAGTCTTTCTTATCTGTGCTGTTTCACCTTTGCAGGAGAATTAATAGATTTTCTTTCTACTGACACTCCATTCTTGAGACGAAGACAGGATTTGTACTGTTCCCCCTTTAGCTGCTTTCCTACAAATTGGATTATTTAGGTAATCTCAAATAGCTACATGGTTGATGCTACGCAGGCTGGCAGGAAAGCCGCCTGGTAAATTCTAAGCACAAAGTGACGGTGCTGCTGAGATGAATACATGCCTGGCATTGGCTACATTTCACAACACTAACTAGCACATTTCCCGGCAACATTGAATTCACCTGTAAGTATCATGGTGTCAGGAGCTGGGCAGAGGAGGAGGAGTGGTGGAGATCACGTTCCCATCCTGACCCTTCCGTGGAGGAGGAAGAGGAAGACAGTATAGATTACAACTGTGGTTTGCGGGAGGTCGCAGCTCAGAGGCAGATGAGGGGGAAAGTTGGGAAATCATGGGAGAGCCAGAACAACACCCAGCTGACATGTTGTCATTAGAAAGCATTCCAGACCCTCCATCTCCCCGAACCCAGACAGCCTTAAAAATAGGAGAGCAAAGAGCTCAAAGACAGAGGACACATATTCCTGGATCCTTATCTTCTACTTCTTGGTTATTTTTTTCAAATACAGAGAAAAACCTGCTATAGAGAAAGGAAATGTGGTTGTATGAATCAGTCCCAAAAGAAATGTGGTTGTATGAATCAGTCCCAAAGTCACACATAAAGTCGATAATTTGATGGGTGCAGGGTTGTGAATGTATATATATTGGCCTCAACTTGATAGGTTACAAACTGACAAGCCAATCTAAAACTTTCCCCCAATAGTAAAAGTTAATATATCCCCCCAAAAAAAACTATTCATCACCTATTATGCAGATCCATCTTGACAGTGCTGAGATGCAGTCTGACTGTTACCTGTTTGGGACTTTACCAAGACTTAAAGCATATCCTCTTTGTGACATCACACATGACATCAGAATGGCATGTTTGCATTCAACCTAGACTATCTCCATGCCAACAGCAATGGCCAGTAAACTTCTGCAACCAAGTAACCATCAGCCTGACTACCCAGTTGTTTCTATCTAGACTATTGGATGTTTATTTTTTGCTCTCATAATCAAAGCCTGAAGAAGAGCTGTGTATAATCTGAAAACCTGCTTCCACTGTTAAAGAAAACTAATTGTCAGGGACTGGGCAGAGGGGAAATGGTGGAGACCTCCTCCCCATCCTGACCCTTTCAGGGAGGAGGAAGAGGAAGACAGTATAGCTTTACAACAAGGGCATGAGGGGGGTAGCAGCTCATAGGTAGATGAGGGGGAAATCATGGAAGAGCCAAAAACAACACCCAGCTGACACATTGTCATTAGAAAGCATTCCAGACCCTCCATCTCCCCGAACCTGGCAAGCCTTAACAGTAGGAGAGCAAAGAGCTCAAAGACAGAGGGCACTTAGCGGCACCCATAGAGGAGGTAATGATGATGATGAAGAGGAAGTGGGAGAGATGGGGTGTGGAGATTCACTCAGGACTCTTGGCTCCCCACCAGCATGTCCATTGCTGGAACTGAGATAACCCCATATGCTACGGACTTGTACAAAAGGAGGCATCGTACTGGTGCTTGTGGGGAGCCAAGTTTGACTAGTCCCACCTGCACCGCAATCGTAGCAATGCCGTAAGCTTGGGTCTCCACTCCAGTAATTTCCTCAATCTCCACTCATTCTTGTACATATTTTCCCTTATGGTTTGATTTCCCCCTCCCCAGGCTTCCCTCCAAGGCTGGATCTAGACACATAAAAAAAAACATTTCAGGAAAATGCATTGTAAAGCAAATAATGGGAAATCACATTGGCAAAGGTTCAAACTCTACAGTGCCATCTAGCATCACACACATTTATTTTTTACTGATGTAACTGAGTCCCTAAATTTCCTCTGTCAGCACCTGAACAAAGCACTAGTCCTTACGTGTAAAGCTGTCACCTTTCTACTGATTTATCTATCTAGAACAACATACGGAAATGTCCTCATAGATGGCCAGCTGGGGTACACAGTATCCCACCCTTAACTTAATGAATATGTAACACCATGAGACTTTGATGTATTTATTTGTTTCAGTGCACTGTACTTGGGGGGGGGGGGGAATGAGGTTTTCTCTCAGTTTTTGTTTTCAGTTATTAATTATGCTTAATGTATGCTTTAGATATTATGTTTTCCCTTAATCTCTTGTCATTCCTTCCCTTTGGCTATATCTCGCTGTGAATTAGATCACTGAGCAGTATATATATATTTTTGCCCCAACTAAAATATCTCATCTCTGTGATGCTGATAACAAGTGTTTTGTTTATTTAAATCATGACTGGACTAAATTTCTTCACACGCAAAACCCACCCTCATTTAAAACCCACAGTCTCTGCTGCACACGATCCCTGCAGGCAAAGATTTATTGTGTTTAATATATTTTAAGGCTATCACACAACAAGTAATTCATCTCTTTGGGGGTGGGTATGTTTACTTAAAATGAAAGGGAGGAAATACATTTATGTGTGTCTCAATGCTTCTTGCCTGTCCGCCCCTCCAGCAAAAGAAACAGCTCAGTCTGTAAACAAATATCAGCCACACGATGCCTGAAATTCCATGGAGTTTCCTTAAGCAGATATTATTTGATATATATTATGTGCTAGACTCTCGTGTGACCAATAAACAAAACTCAGGCCATAACTATGCAATAGGGTCGTGTCACTTCAGATTCCACTTCAGTGCTACAGACAGGAGCCTGATTCATTTTGGACCATTTAAACATCCGTTGCATTTCAGATTCTGAAAACTTGAGACTTTGGATATCTCCCTGTTGTCTATAATGGAGACATCAAAAATAGCTTGTGTGTGTTTTTTAAAAAAATTAAAAGTATACATTTGCAAAGAGAAAAGATTTCATTAAGTGAGAGGTTCCACTCTAGGTGAATGCGGAAGACTGGTGTTTTTCTATTTCAGCGGGTTTAGGCTACCTGATGATTCATCACTGAAAACCCAAGCAAATCCCTCATGAGCAGCAAACTGAAGCCTGAGAAATTCAGCATCTTTGTGGGAAGCCAGCAGAGATATTGCCAGCTAAGTGTGTTGCGGAAAGGAGCTTCTCAGAGAGAAGTTTTTGGACTGTGTTGTTGTTGTATGTGGCATGAGGTCCACTTGCACAACAGAACTTTCCTCCCTCTGTGCCCACCATGCCTTCTAAATATGCTCTCTGGGATAGGGGGAACCCCAGAACAGGTATAGGGAGGTGGAAGTCCCATTTTATGAGCCGACACTTGTTCTCTACACATATTCTTTTATTGCTACATCAAACTCCACTCTGACTCTATGCCTGCGAAGTGCTTTGAGTTCCCTAAAGCGCAAGATAAATCCGAAGTGTTCTCAACTTCTGTAATACTGTTGAGCTCATACACTCCTTTTTGAGGATCATCGAGGCCTGTTCTTTTTAATCAAGCAGTTGCAATAGAATCCGCAATCGCTGCTATCAGGCATGATTCTAAAAAGTTTGACTTCTTAATACACACTTCACTCTGCACTGCCATAATCAGTCTGGGATTCTTATCGTGATTTCTCCCCTCTATTGTTTTCAATATCAAAGAGAAAGCAATCATGGAAAGGCTTTTGTTCTACTAGAGAACTTTAAGCAGGCTGATTAAGTTGCAAAGGGCATTCTGGAGCCCCTTGTCTCCAGGAAGGAATTTGCAAAGGATGCTTCAATTACTTTGAGAGAAGTGTCCGTGCTTTCCTGACCGTGTGTGTGTGTGTCTGTGTGTGTGTCCTTTTAAAAACATTGAATAAAAAAAGAACAAAAAGGACAAGAAACCGTCTAATCAAAATTCATGTGTTTGTGAAAGTGACTTTGATAACAGAGTCAGAAAAGATGACTTCTCAGATGTGACCAACCTTTTGGAAACCTCATGCCGTCTGGCGTGTTCTTTAACATGGTTTGTGTCTTATTTTCAGTCCCTCACTCCTCCGGTGCCAGGAAGAAGCTGGCGGGTGGTGGCTGAAGGCCTCATTGAAGATTGGCTTGACTCACAGGAATGCCACCTCCTGCTGGTTCATTTTCCTATTGGCTGGCTATTATTAAAGTTAACCAGGCAACAATAGCAAACCTATAGGAAAACCTTGCAGGAAGCTGATTTTTCGTTGTCAGCTCAGATTCCTCTGACTTAAGACACAGGCAATGATTGTGTTTCCTATACCTGCTGTTATTTCTTCCTCCCCCTACTAATTAATCCCTGCAAAGCAAGTGATGGCAATATTAATTGTTTTCTTGCCTGCATTCCAGGCTCAGTATGCTTGTTTTGTGATGGAATGGGCTAGCCGAATTTTGTGATGGAATGGGCTAGCCGAATTCTTTTTGCAGCTCTTGGTTATTATATGTTTGTTGACAATGCCATCCCTAGAAGGGATTTCAGGTTTTAAAGAAATGTTATACTTTGATGAAGAAGATGACTTGAGTAGACACTTTGGGCAGTGATGTAATAGAGCTATACAAAAAGCACTGTTCTCACCTCATTTATTAACCTTTGGGTTCTAGGTTGCAGAGACCTTTCTTGATTGTACCATAAAGAACAATTACGCATTGTTATTATTATTATCATGCTGTTTTTAAGTGTTCCAACACTGTGGATACATTACTTCAGTAATTTTTCTGTCGTGTTTTTTCGGTAGTCACCATGAAGTTGTTACAGTGTTTTTATATTTGTTGGAAGCTGCCCAGAGTGGCTGGGGCAACCCAGTCAGATGGACAGGGAATAATAATAATAATAATAATAATAATAATAATAATAATAGGATGTCCTTATTTTTACCAGAGAAATGATGGGTGGTATGCCATAGGTAAGGAAGCTGACATTGGCACAATTGGCAGCTTCTCGCCTAACAGAAATGCCAGGTGTGAGCGTGCAGTTTTCCTCAGGCTTGCAGGGTGAGAGTAAATGTTACGCTGCCCCACCAACCCACTCACATCAGCTATTTAAAGTGGAAAGAAACCATGGAATGATAAATTACAGATTTAACTTAATATGTAGTTGTTTTGCTCTGACAGGCTCATGGATTATGGTGAATGCTTCCTTCATGTTGGATTTATTTGTACGACATGGCACCCAGATACAAAAGTGATAAATGCCTTAGACGCTCAAAAACAAATAAATAAAACAATTAGGAGGCATTCTTTCGCTTCCCCCTTCCTCTTTTTCTCTTAATGATTCTTTGCTATACTTCATTAGTGGCGCTCATTACTCATCACTGTCTGCCATGCAAAAGGCAATTCCGCACAGCGTTGTGTATTTTTCCCGTAATAGTTCATGCTGAGTCAACACCTCATTCAGTGTCATTTATGTAGTTTTCATAATGAGCTCCTAAAATAAACACAAAAGACAATTAGCTTTATGCATATGACAAATTATTCACGCTCAGCGGATGAAGCAGTCAGGTAAAAAGGAAAGGGGCCCCACCAGGCCTTAGCAAACTAACGTCAGTCTCCAATTACTCCATCTGTACACAGCGGCTCAGGAGACTCAAGGTGGACTTTGATTAGACGCTCTTCTTTCTGTCAATTTGCTAGGATTTACGTTAATGCTCAGTGTTCCATCATAAAATGCCTAACACTTAATGGATCTGAAGACCGGTTTCTGGGAGGTAAATAAGCAGCAGGAGAGAGCTATTGCCTTCATCCATGTCTGGCATGATGGTTGGGGGCTTCCCAGTAGCATCTGGCGAGCTACTGTGAGAAGTGGGATGCAGGAATAGGTGAACCTTTGGTCTTACCCAGCAGGGCTGTTCTTCTGTTCTTAACTGAAAGGAAACGAATTTAAGCGAAGTGGGATTGTGGTGATTGCTGCTGCTAACCGTGTCTGTTCGTATAGTGTGTTTTTATCCCAATATTCACCTGAAAAAGTCTCAGGATGATTTGCAACAATCAGTAAACTCAAATAATCCATTGCCTCTGGCTGACAGACTGAAAGACATGTGGCACAAAAGGAATGAGGACTGGGATGAGCAAGGAAAAAAGCAAACTCAGTCACTACTTCTTCATTTGCAAGGTTGGTAGAACATGAGACTCTTAATCTCAGGGTTGTGAGTTCAAGACCCATGTTGGGTGAAAGATTCCTGCATTGCAGGGGGTTGGATTAGATGACCCTCGTGGTCCCTTCTAAGTCTATGCAGTGGTACCTTGGGTTACATACGCTTCAGGTTGCAGACGCTTCAGGTTACAGACTCCGCTAACCCAGAAATAGTATCTCGGGTTAAGAATTTTGCTTGAGGACGAGAACAGAAATCGTGCAGCAGCGGTGCAGCAGCAGCAGGAGGCCCCATTAGCTAAAGTGGTGCTTCAGGTTAAGAACAATTTCAGGTAAAGAACGGACCTCTGGAATGAATTAAGTACTTAACCCAAGGTACCACTGTATTTCTATGATATATGATTCCTACCAGGGAGAGGGAAAGAAAACTCAATGAAGTTGCTCGGTCTTTGGCTGATGGATGGGGCCTGGGAAGCACATGATCAAAAGTAAATTGTTATATGACCATTACCAGAAAGTTGAATCCACATGATCATATATATTCAGGGGCATCAGACTGCTCCCATCGAGATCATAAAAGTGGCAAAGTATTGCATTAGCAGCTAGTGAAATCCAGGAAGTACTCTTGCATTGAGGAATGTGAGCATTTTCCTAACCTTCTGTGAAAGTGATTGACAGACTAATTCTGCATAAGGAAAAATTAATTTGTAGTTGCACTCACAACTCATTCCAACTTGTGAAAACCTTTCATACCACTGCCAACCTCCCAGAGCTGAGACAAGGCCTGATCAAATGGCAGCTTGCGATAACGGACCCGCAGACGGAGTTAATGGAATTCTCTTCGTTTCTGATCTCTGCCAGATTTTAACCTTGGCTCACCCCGTGAGAATTTTCATTTGGACCATTTCTACAAGTTTGGAGAGGTTTAGGCAAAGCTCCCTGGAAGCCTGCTACTCATTATTGCAGGACTGCAGTGGTACCTTTATCTGTGCAAAACATTTTATTTTGCAGAGACTCACGCCATGTGATTCCAAAGTCCTGGAACAGAAGTGAATGGAGCAGAGAAAAACATGTGTTTACATTCAAGAGCATTGGTCATGAAAGATAAAGATTAGGAGAGAACAGTAAACATGCAGGCATGCAAACACAGAGCTGTGTTACGTGTCAATGATCCATAAAAGTAAAAAATAATCTATTACTTTATGACTGAATCATCTCTGTTATGAACTGTATAAACCCACAGACTTCTTTTTTTGCTGTTTAGTCGTTTAGTCATGTCTGACTCTTCATGACCCCATGGACCAGAGAACACCAGGCACTCCTGTCTTCCACTGCCTCCAACAGTTTGGTCAAACTCATGTTAGTAGCTTCAAGAACACTGTCCAACCATCTTGTCCTCTGTTGTCCCTTTCTCCTTGTGCCTTGTGCCGAGTCTCCTCCAGCACCATAATTCAAAAACATCAATTCTTCGGTGATCAGCCTTCTTTATGGTCCAGCTCTCACTTCCATACATCTCTAAAGGGAAAACCATAGTTTTAACTATATGGACCTTTGTCAGCAAGGTGATGTCTCTGCTTTTTAAGATGCTGTCTAGGTTTGTCATTGCAGGTGTCTTTTAATTTTGTGACTGCTGTCACCATCTGCAGTGATCATGGAGCCCAAGAAAGTAAAATCTCTCACTGCCTCCATTTCATCCCCTTCTATTTGCCTGGAGGTGATGGGCCCAGTTTTTTTGATGTTGAGCTTCAGACCATATTTTGCGCTCTCCTCTTTCACCCTCATTAAGAGGTGCAATTAAACTTGCCCCTTCCCTCCTCTCCCCTGTAGTCTTAAGATGAGGTGTGAGACACACAGGCATGTTTCATGGGGAATGGCCTCAGAAGCCAACTTAGTATCTCTGTCAAGCCTAATTAAGATTGTGGGTCAGAGTTTTCCCTCTTCAGCCTTCCCAAATGCCTTTCCTCTTATGACCTTCTCCGTATGGCAAGGTAAGGTTTGAATCTGAATGCTGACCACGTTCAAGGTTAGACTGGCAGGCAGAAGAGAGGGGGCCTTCTCAGCGGTGGTGCCTGTAGTTTTGAATTCCCTCCCCATGGAACGACCTGCTCTGTTGCACAGTTTAGAAGGATGATAAACATCTTACACGGGCAAGCTTTGGGAAATAAAATACAGTGGTACCTCTGGATACACACACCTCTGGTTGTGTATCCTTCAGGATGCGAACGCGACAAACCCAGAAGTATTTTTCTGGGTTTTGCTGCACACAAACAGTCTTGTAAAATGTAAAAAAATAACATTTACTCAGAATACTAGTTGAAGAGTAACAGATACAGCAGCTTTGTTCAGGCAGGCTTAAAATGGTAATTCAGTTACAAAGACATACTTTAGTCCAGCTTAAAATGCAGTGAGCACTGAAGATGCTTTCACATCTCTGGCTCAGTGGGAAGTGATGAAAAAGAAGATGTGCCCCGGCAGGTAAGATAATATATATAGCTACACCATCCCCCCTGGTAGGGCACAGTGGGAGATTCTCTCACAGAGTCCTCTCTAGCAAACTTACAGGAAAATTCTGTGAGCTTCAGCGCCTATCATGTGCCTATCTAGCAAAGCATGAATTGTTGGTTTGACTGCATTTTAAATATCCCACAACCACTGCCGCCTTGTTTATACATTTTACCTTAATCTTGTTGATCATCCTGTCTTCAGTTAGTTCCCTTTTACAGGATTCGGGCTGCTCTTCGAGCTGCAATACATGTAATATTGTGTATTGTGTACTGCTGACGGTCTTCAGCAATATTGTGAGTTTCAATGCTGGAAGGTTCTATTGAGACATGCCAGTAGGATATCAAATCTCAGAAGAAGCTTCTTTCAGAGATGTTGTTTACCAGCCTACCCTTCATTTCCCAGACAACTGTTTTCTGTGGGGCAGAAAAGAGGGCTATATAATAACGCACATACCGAGAGCCACAAAGCAGCATTCCAACTTTCCCAAGCATCAGGCTGCTGGTGTTTCTTAAAGATGCCAAGGCTTGGACTTTATTAAGTTTTCATGATGAGATCATGCCATGGGCCTTATCAGAGATGCACCAGTCTACCAAGTGCGCAGTCGTGTCTGCATTCAGTTGACATTCAAAGGAGGACTTGTTTATGTATCCCAGTCAGAGGTAAACATCACAGGAAGTCCTACCAGACAAATGCAATTCTGTCTGCTCACTCAGCTGGTACTGCTGCTTTAATAATGTCTGAACAATGTCTGAAGGCAATCATAGCTGTATACAGCCATCAGTAGTGCCTTTCTAAATGAGCCCTTAGTGTTCAAACTTGTATCATAAATGGTGTTGTTATCAGGGCACACTAGCGAAACACACATACAGGATGGGAGGGAATTATCTCTCTATTGCCATTCACTGCACATCCATGTCTTAAGCAAAACTCCAGAGGCCATATCATATTGCACATAGGCTGCTGCTTATGAAAGCTACACACCTAGCCACACACGAAACTGAACATGCCCGTTTGCTGTCTGTGATATTGTACCCCTGAATGCCAAGTCAGCTAGGATGACATGTGCATGGAAACTAAAGCAGTGCAGACATTCCCTTTGTTGTTTCAGGAACCACATGCAGAGGCTGAACAAGTTGTAGCTTCAACAAAATGTTGCCCTATGGAATGTTCCAGTTTAGAGTTCCATTCTTCCTCCTCTCCTGCTTTTCCATATCTCCCGGTGTTTTGTTGCCACTCAGCATGCTCAATACTTAAAGGCCTGGGAGGGCGGTTCTCCCCTTAGAGTTCCCCCTCCAAATATTTTTGTACTCCTCTAAACCACGGCTTTCTCCAGAACATGCTGATACCTCCCTCTTCTTTCCCGGTGGCCATATCACAGCCACAATCCTCTCAGCAGTCACCTACTGAGTTTGCCGTTAAGAAAGGGTGATGGTGATGTCCTCTGGCTCTCCAGAGGTTGCCGAACTACAAATGGGATCCTATTAATGAGGGTCCTGGTTGTGCATGGGCCCCTGAGACAACCCCCGCCAGGTTGAAGGTGCTGGGCATGGCCCAGGCCTTGTCTGTATGGCCCCACAATCACACCAGGCCATTTGAGCCAATCGGTGCAGGTGGCATGATTGGTGGGGGCCTATAAAAGCGGCAGTGCGATGTGGCTGAGGCACTTGCTTCACGCTGCCGAATACCCGCCCTCCCTATTTGTAGGTTTTGCTGCTTTGGCTTTGCTTTGGATATTGGTTGGTGGCCTGTTTTGGAACAGGGGCCAGGTAGGAATCTTTCCACTTGGCAAATTGGCAGTGGCCACTTGGTTTCCGCATACCCCCTTAGCAATTATCACAACTTTGTAAGGTTTGGCAGTTAGGCATTGGCTTAATGAAGTGTGTGGGAGGGTTGATGCGGCCATCACCTGCCCCTCCAGAAATAGGGTATTCCAGTAAAGGAATCTGGGAGTCCTGGATCTCATCTGAAGTCCACTTGAGGGGCTAGGGCCATGCCAGGACCACAGGAATCCCGGGGTGAGCTTCAGTTGATCTTCATCAATGTTGCTCCCTCGTTTGGTGTTTACCCTTTCAGACTACCACCCAGAGAGGCAGGAGTCAGTTATAGTCTGCTACCAATGCCTAAGCCAATACCACTCACTTTGTTGTAATCAATAAAGTTGTGGCCTAAATTTTGCCCATTAAATTAAACCAAAATTACGTATCAGTGTGAAGTTATTTACTTGGGGAAGGGTTTGGGGGCCTCAGGGCGCAACTCCTCCCATCCCTACCTAGCATGGAGAATGGCCAGGGATTATGGGAATTGTAGTTTAGCAACTTCTAAAATGCCAAAGGTTCCCCAGTCCTGCTCTACACATTCAAATATGACTCATTCAGTATGGCTCCAGTTGGCACTGTTAAGATGTTGATAGGATGTGTCTGCTTGTGGACTGCAATGTTTCATAGAATGGACATCTCCAGACATGGTCCCAGGTTGCACGTGTGTTGTGCTGACCAAGTCTATATTTGGATTTAGATCAGGGTCTATATAGGCTTTATTATTATTATTATCTCCTCTTCCCTACTGAGAAGAGTTATTGTTAATTGACGAGTGCCTCACCTCACTTCCTTTCCCCACTTTGTGTGAGGCAAATCTGGTTTTGCATTAAGACTGCAGCCTTAAAATAATTCAGTGGGGCTGAGCTCTTTATATAAATAGTTACCTTTGAAATATATGTAGTTTGGAAAGACTGAACATTTTTGACAGGCAACAAAATTGTTTATTTAAGATTTCCCCCCCCCCTGCATCTCCTCCCCAAGTTAATTTCCAGTAGGATGGTAGATGAAGCAGGCATACACTAATGCCAGAAGAAGGTTTAGATTGAAAAAGTTAGAGTTTTATTACCACAAACTGGAAATGCAAATAGCCAATCGCTTGTTTCAAACTGTGCAAAGTTAATCGATAAATCACACCTGCATTGGCCATTTATTCTGTTCTAGTTGTGCATATAGCTGACATTTAAGGCTCATACATTACTTCTTTCATCTATAAATTTCTTAAATATTACAAATATGACACCACTCCTCTGCCACCAACTCCATGTGCTTCCAGAAGACTTTCTTGGTGCTAACTCACTCTCTCTTTTCTTTCAAATTAATCCTTAAGATCCATTCTAGGTTATAACTAGGGATGGGCAGATCTGTCAATTTCGACTTTTCTCAGTTTCTCATTTTTCCAATCTTAAATTTAACTCTCCACATTTCCACATCAGTTTGTGAAGCACTTTTTATTTTTTAAAGAATCCCCATGAAAATTCATCAGCATTTCAGTGCAAATTTCTCCCAATATAAACATTTTTTATATGGAGAGTATTCCCCAATATAAAATCATTTTTGATAATTTATTTTCATGAATGTATCAATTTTTATGCACATTTTACTCCAGTGTTCTTTTTTTCTTTTTTCCATTTTGTATTCATTAGCTGGGGAATTGTACTGCAATATTCAGAGAAGCACAAATTTCAAAGGATGCCTGTGTTTTGGTTTGCCACTTGCTTCAAAAAGTTCAGAATAGGTACATTTGCTTTTAAATGTGAACTGAATTGAATTTCTCCCCCATCCCTAGTTATAACTGACTTGGTTTTGGAGAGAAGAAACCAGTTATTGCCCCCAAACTTAGCATTTTAAGTCATTTGTACAAAGGAAGGAGAATTGTATGTGTGCATAGGCCAAATATCCAATTGTTCCTCAGTACACTCATAAGCCTTCATAAATAAATGGAGGATTTCTCCTCACTGCGCCAAAAATCTCTAGAAGCGCTGGCATCTGGACTCTACAGTATGCAATTGCTGCCAAAGCATGTGGCGAAGTCCTGGAAAGCTTGCAATTCAGCAAGCTGAACACTCCACACCACCAAGATATGGCAGTTCATAGTGCTGGTGAGATGCATTTGACTTAGTGTGTCACAAGTTGGGCAGGCCTCAAATATGGTGTGTGTGTGTGTGCATAAACTTATTACAGTAGACTTGACAATGGGCTCTGTTCATGTGCTGAGAGTGGTGGTCTATGCATAAATTGTTGTTCTCGTGTACATACTGCCATGTTGGATTGGGATCTGGGGTGGAGGATGCTGGGAATTTTGATGCACACCAATTCTATAAGTGCTTGGATCATGGCCTTTTGTTACTGATATAATCTGGCATGGCTCCACTTTGATAATTCCCCTTTTTTCTTTGTTCATTGCATCTGAAACAGCTCAGCTGTTCAACTGGTGAACTGTGTGATCTTGAGAGCTTCAAGCTGTGTCGCAGGTGGATCACCCAGCCTTCGGGTCTCAAAGTTTCAGCAGAATCAAATGGCACAGATTTTGCTGAACTCTACAAACTGTGTTTCCCTATCCCCTCTGGTAGACAGAAAAAATAGCATCTCAATGAGAAGTTATCAAGCCTTCTTAATAGGCTATATTTCTAAGTGCGGGAAGGTGGTACCCCCTGCTTATTATTGTCAAACAAAAATGAACAACAGCTGCCAAGAAAAAAAAAAGATTGATTAATGCAAATAGCCACCTATCAACAAATATTCTCTAAGAAAAATGGCAGCACTAAAAATTCAATATGTAATACTTAAAATTAACAATAAGCATGGACCACAATGATGCTGATTCTATAGTTCAGTTCTCAAGTGCCATTTGGGCTCCTCTTGTTTATGATACTTTATTACAAAGATTTTGTGTGTGTTTGTGTGCGTGCATACGTGTGTGTGCATGAGGGAAAGACAAGACGAAAAACATGTTTTGCATGTCACAAGGGAGAAAGCACAATAGATGTTTTGAAGTTTTGCCACTCTTTGGGTACATAGATGCCTCTAAGTGGGTGGTTTTCCACTGGGCTTCAGAGCATACAAAACCTAGTTGATTGATATTTACAACTTCAAAAAGAAAAGGAAAAAAAGTGAAAAGTGTAGGGGATTGAACTGTGCATTACTGTCTCAAATGGCACCTGAGTAAGGATAAAACGTTTGTGAGAGGAGAATGGCTTTGGTGGGGGGCAGGGAGTTAAGCTATACTACAGGATGTCAAAGACGGAAAGAGATTATTCACAGGAAATGAACAAAATCTATTTGTACCTCCAGGACATTTTTGTTATAGATTTAGTCCATTTGCACTTGTAAAAAGGGTGTTTTGAAAGCCTAATTAGCAACAGGAAATCAGAAGTCTGTGAACAGGAATCTATTGTTTTATTTAATATGGAAAGTGAGAAATCTTGCCGAAAGCGTCCAAGTCACCAGTCAGGAAAGCAGCTTGCATCAAGTGTGTGTGTGCGTATATGTATGTATGTAATGGAATTATATATTGCCTTCACTTTTACCCCTCCACAAAATGAAGCTAGAACACTAATTTGTATGCCAAAGGACTGGTTTTTATTGCCTTATGTTTTATTTGCTTTGTCCAAATGTAGGAAGATGAAAGAGGCAAAATGGATGTGATGTCTCGCAAGCTAGAGTGATTATTTGTACAGCATATAAGACCCTATCCAGCTCAGGACCAGGCTACTTGAGAGGCCACCTTATCCATTATAGGCCCACTAGGCCACTGTGTTCTGAAGGAGAGTTTCTCTCTAAAGTCCGCAGAATGACAGAAGCCCACTTTCCAGTAAGGTGGAGCAGGACTTGTAGTGTAGCTTCTCTTGTTTTTGTGAAACAGCATCACTGGTGAGATACAGCAGTAACCCGCTATCTTAACTTTTCTAGAACAACGGAAGACATTTTGGTCTCAACAAGCTTTTGTCCCAGCAAGCTTTTCTGGGTGGATGAAGAGGTCTCTGCCTTACGTTTGGAAATACAGTGGTATCTCAGGTTACATATGCTTCTGGTTACATACACTTCAAGTTACAGACTCCGCTAACCCAGAAATAGTGCTTCAGGTTAAGAACTTTGCTTCAGGATGAGAACAGAAATTGTGCTCCTGAGGCGCGGCGGCAGCAGTAGGCCCCATTAGCTAAAGTAGTGCTTCGGGTTAAGAACAGTTTCAGGTTAAGTATGGACCTCTGGAACGAATTAAGTACTTAACCTGAGGTACCACTGTAATACAAAACGAACGCCAACCTTTAGTTATGTAGCTTCATTCCAATGTAAAATGTATGTGTCAAAATGCTATAAAAGAGCCATGAATTACATATTACATATTATTACCAGACTTCTAAACAACAACAAAGCAAATCCAAATAGTCATATGTGTTTGATTAGTTCCCATTTCTGGCCAAAGATGAACATGTGAGTTGAAACAACTTCGGCTTCCTTTGCTTCCTTGACTTTACTAGGCCAAGATTTAGCTTTCTTTGGTCCTTTACTTATCAGTTAATTAATTTAATTAATTAAATTAAATTAAATTATAAAATTATAATTTAATATAATAAATTAATAATAAATTATAATTTAATTTAATATAATAAAATATAATATATAAATTATAAAATAAATTGTATATCGCTCATCGTATGAAGATCCCAAGATGATTTGCAAGATGAAAAATACAAAATGAGAACACAAAAAACATTTCTGCAGTCCCAGTGCTGAGTGTTCATATGGGCTGTGTATGATCCAAAACAGCTGGAACGCGCATTCACAGGTGGAAAAGCAATTTGAACATTTTCTCTGGACAGCCAATAGACATGGTTGTGCCACTGACATCCTTAATTTTTTAGGGCCTAGATCTGTCTATGCATCTATATATCTATATATTTATAACGTGTAATCAAACATTTTACGGCAATTTGTATAAATGTGGTTCTCTGGCAAAATATTTACTCCCCATCTAGGGTTTATAGTCTTAGATTTAAAAGCTTTGGTGCTGTGAGCTGGAATGCAATGGGCTGGATAATTAAACCAGCCTGGATTTTCAACAGGGGCTTTTGGGCCATTGATAATTCATAACTCTTTCCCTAATTACAGTTTTAGAGATTTACCTCCTACAAGAACAACCAACAGCATACTTCCTCTTAGAAAACACACCCTAAAACATGGAGTGGGAATTCAGGACTTGGTAGCAGCACGGCAAAGATGGCTTCTTTAACATTTCATTGCTGTATTTATAATATAGTGTATTATAATGTTAACAATACAGTGTATGAACAGTGTGGTTTTCATACTCGTTGTAGTTAATGAAACATGGAAAGTCCAGTGTAAATCTTCACTTACTACATTAGTGATGGCCCAGGGTTTAGAGTATATAAGGCAAAAAAATGTCCTCATAATAACATTTAGCCCATCTCCACTGCACATAACTACTAACAACTACACATAAAATCAAAATGCACTGATTTACATAACATTATTCATGCATAATTCCTTGTCTCCTGCTGTTTTATATTTTCAATTGCTATTACTAATTTGTTGTGCTTATTATGAGTTATTGTTTTAATATAGTCCTTGTATTTAGATTTTTTTGTATTAAAAAAAGCAACAAAGTCTGGGTTTCATAATGTTGCATTCCCAATTTTCTTTGCTATATAGTCTCTTCTTCTTCTTCTTCTTCTTCTTCTTCTTCTTCTTCTTCTTCTTCTTCTTCTTCTTCTTCCCCAGTATGCTGAAGTTGTGGTGAAATTGCATGGTCACCGTGGGGATTATTTTTAAATCTGAGATTGGTCTTCAACATTTGGATCACTCTTATGAGTGATTGATTCATTTCATTTAACAGATTTCTAAACTGCTTCCCAGCCAGAGGCCACCAAAGCCATCTACAATATAAAAATAGGATAAAATATGGAACCCGGTTTCTGAAAGCAATAGAATCGTTTTTAGAAAACTAAAAACAAGAAAATCATAACTGCAAATATGCAATCAATATTCCATAAGTGATGGGGTCCTCCATCGTGGAAAGCCTTCTTGAACAATAATAATAAATGTCTTCAGCAGGTGCATAAACATTGTGCTCGTCTAATTATGGCTGATACTTAATTCTAGACAGCTGGAGCTGAAACACCAAAAGCCCAGTTTCCAGTGCCAACTATGTGCACCTCTAGAGCACGAAGACCTCTCAGCAGTTTGAGGAATGCAGTTGCTAGGCAGGGTAGCAACCTGGTTCTAAGATGTTTAGGTCTTCAAATGCTAGAAGCAGAACGTTGAACTGTATCTGGCAGCATTTTGGCAGCAGTGCAGTTCCCACAGCAGAGGTGTAATATCATGCCAAAGATTAAAGCAAAAGTTATGTACAGTGGTACCTCGGGTTAAGTACTTAATTCGTTCCGGAGGTCAGTTCTTAACCTGAAACTGTTCTTAACCTGAAGCACCACTTTAGCTAATGGGGCCTCCTGCTGCTGCCATGCCACTGGGGCAAGATTTCTGTTCTCATCCTGAAGCAAAGTTCTTAACCCGAGGTACTATTTCTGGGTTAGCGGAGTCTGTAACCTGAAGCGTATGTAACCTGAAGTATATGTAACCTGAGGTACCACTGTATTGCCCATTCCAAGAGAATCTGAGCCTTAGAATTCCTCACCAACCATCCCAAGAGACCTTGTGGCTTGACCAAACATGATGGACTCTATTCAACCACTTGTTACTAAAGTATGGACGCATCCCAATTTCAGTAATCACCAGGGTGTTTCTCTTAATGCATTTCTCTTCCAGATTTCTCTGCCAGACCTCTCCCTCCATATTTGTTTTTCCATTAAAATAGTTGTCACTTATTTATCTCCAGATTACTTCTTCTCGGAGGCAGCTGAGCAGTGTTTTTCATGCTTGTTGAACTCAATTACGAGCAGCACCTCTTCTGTGCTTCACTTCCCATGCCATGGCCTCATCCAAGTCCTATGATCTTCCATCAAGGGCTTGACCCTCCCACCCTCCAACCAGCTTCTTGAGTGGACTCAAATTTCAATTGCTAATTCTTGTCTCGGGTCAATTGAACTTGTTTGTTTGATTTTATTCTGAGACGCAAAATGGGGATACCTTTTAAGATTAATGTCTAGTTACATGCACAAACACATACACACTTGAACAAGCTGCATAACCTTGTTCCCCTGAGCAATAATGATTTACCCAGGGCCACCAGGTTACCTTGAACACCCACTGCTGGGCTATTAAGAGATGCATATTACCTAATTGTATGCCTCACTTTGCGAGAACTGAAAGGCAAATATTTAACATGCCACCATCTCTCTGTAGCACCACAGATACAAAAGTATTTAATATAGCATCATTTCAACCAGAGTGCTGCGGCACAAAAATGGTCAAAGCATTCTCCAGCACGAAGCAGGTTCATTCAGCTTCTCAGCATCGCTAACAAATTTTAATCAAAGAATTGTGGAAGTTTTATTGGAGTGTGTGAAAGGGAAAGAAGCAGTGATGTCCCATTTGCCTTCCATTGCTTGGTTTTTTTCTTAATATGGTTTTACGCCACTCCAATCTCTGAGAGGTGCAATATTTCAAGGTTTCCAGGTGCTTACCTAGGGTTCGTGTTTCCTTTTAGAATAAGGCACAGAGGAGACTGTAGTGTCTTTGTGGTGTATGGTTTATTTAAACATATATACTGTACAACCCAAGCCTATGTTGAAGGGGTTCACAGCATTAAGATCCCAAGGGGGTCTTGTTTCTCCCATAACCACAGCCTTGGTTTCCAGCAGAAATCAGGCCTGGCTCTCTCTCTGCCTTTTCAACCTGGCACTTTCGCATCCTGCTTTTAGCTCACAGCACTCAGCTCCCGACTCTGGCCTTTTGTTCTTCTAACTAACCAGGGAGGGAGACCCACCTATTTCCCCTTTGTCACAGAGCTACTCGCTTTGTTCCCAAAGGAGAGCCTCTCTCCTTTGTTCATATTTAGCAGGCCATTAACATGCTAACCTGGCTATTCCAGCAATTGAATCCATGCTGGAATAGTTACATAAGATGAAATGTTTTGGGGGAGGGGGTGGAGCTGAAAATAAAGCAACTTACATAAGATTAAATTTAAAGCAACCTATAGCAATTGGGATAGGTTTGACTGAGAAGTGGTGAGTCTTATGGTGAAGTGAGAATTATAACTCTGGTCTGCAGGCCTTAGTTCAACATTCCAACCACACAGGCTCTTGGGGGAACAAAACAAGAGATAATTCAAATCTAATATTACAGTTTTTTGACCTTTCACTGTTTTGGAGTCTTTTTTCTTTGAATTTGCATGATGAGGGTATGAAAACAGTATCCTAACAGTTGCTTAGAAAAACAACTCTCATTCCCCCCCCTCCAAAAAAAACCCTACAGGGGCATGCCTATTTATCTGTTCAGAAGCAGAAAATTAGCAACAGAGAAATGATGCCTCAAAGAAGGAAACAGCTAATTACAGACACATTTCATATATCCTCCAACTTTTGTCACTTTCAGTGACAGGATCAGAGATATCAATGTGGCTCCATGTTTGAATCTGTTTAGAAAGTGACATATTTCCCTGTACAAGTAGAACAAGTGCGCAGCACCTGAAGCCAAATTTAGTTTGTATCATCTCAGACGAATTGATAATATTCTGGACATGTGGCAGATACGTTTGGAAAATTAACTTAAAAGCCAGAAGGCAAAGGCAGTGGTGGAGAAACCCTCTCCAGCATCTGGGGCAGGATGCCATGGAGCGGGGCGAACCACCTGGCGATGCATGCACGACATCTGTACGGACTGTGCATGCGTGGCATCCCATACAGACTGCACATGCATGGCAGCCCGTATGGACAGCACACGTGAGCGGTAGTCTGTACGGGCAATGTGCGAGTGGCAGCCCATACGAACACCGCGTGAGGGCACCCATACTGACTGCGTGCATGCCCTCGGCCGCTCTACAGCCAGGGGGAGGCAGCAGGCCATTTTGTCACCCCCCAGAGTGGTACCTGGGGCGGACCACCCTCTTTGTATGCCCCTGGGCAAAGGGGTTCCTTTTCAGGGATTTGGAAGAAAACGTCAAGTGCTGAAAAAGTCTTGAAATTTTTTAAATAGCATGCAAATTATTCACAAGAATAGTAATAACAAATCAATATGCAAGCAGATAATACAACACCTTCACTCAGCTCCTGGGAGCCCCAAAGATACAGCAGCAGAGAGGACCCCAATCTGGTCAATGGACCCCAAAGCACCCTTGCCAGCTTCCAGGTCTGTGCCAAAGCTCAGCTCAGATCAAATGCTAAAGCTTATCTTTGCTAAATTACCTATACCTGACACCAGGGGGATCTCATGTTCTGGGCCAGCAGGTAAGCAATGTAATTAATTTTGGGAGCCTCCCAATGTATTGCAGCTGTGTTATCTCAAAACAGGGAACACTCCTGTGAATTAGGAATTTTGGCTTGGAAGGCAGTCAAGTCAGTGTGATTTAGCATTAAACTACTGTCAGACTTAGGAGAACAGTGAAGCCCTTCTTCTCTGACAGGCCACATATAATGGTGACATGAAGGACCAATTATTGCCAGGCCAATACACCTCCTTGAGATACTTTATGTCTTCCAGTGTTTCCAATACACCTCTGGTTAGGGTATTTATTTCAGTCTCAAAATATTTTTTGAACATTTCAAGTAGGAAGGTTGGGACTGATTTGGAATGGAGACATGGAGAAAGCATTAAGAACCCATTCTATTCCTCACTGCTTCTGCACTCTAAATGGATCCATTCAGCATGCCTGTCCTTAAAAACCAAGTACTGGAACTTGATGGCAATTTATGGATGTTGCAATTATTTGTTTATTATTTATTAATCACATTTATATAACACCCTTCATCTGAAGAACACAAGGCGGTTCACCACATATAAATACAAAATAAGAACACAAATTGCCGACTGAGCTCTGGCTCAAAGTGCCCCACTACCCCCAAAGGCCATGATTGGCCGGTTAGAATTCAAGATTTTGGCTAGTTATCCCTCTTCCTTCTTCGCAATCAGCCGGGGCTGAAAATATAGCTGGCCTGTCACAAGAGATAAGGTGTCACTCTTTACAGCTCTCAGGGCAGCATCCGACTGCTATCCTCGCTCCTCTTCAGAGGTATATGGTCTTTATCTGTCAGGTTGTTATTTTGTTAGAAATGTTCTGTTTACCTAGGAGAGACTAATTGTTGCTAGCTGCAACTGGACTGAGGTCACTTTTCATTTCAGTCCTCTTGTATTTTTAATTGATTTGATTTGCCTAGCCATTTCATCTCTTTCTTAAATCATTTTAGTGAACTATCTAATGAATCACTATGCTGTAATTGGCAATAGCTTCATGGGTTTGTTTTTTTCCCTCCCCCCCCCCCTTTCCTTCCTTGCAAATGGATACATAGCATATCAAATGAGCTATTTGAAGTGTCAAATTTCAAGGGCAATTTTATGATGCTTAATAGTCTTTCCAGCGGCTAACCACAGCATCCCTTTGTTAACAAACAAGCAATCATCATTTTCATTTCCCCCCCCCTTCTTTTTTTGTCATTAAGATTGCAAATGAATTGAATGGCTTCTTAATGCTGGACTAGAGGGGCTTCTTGAGTCTGGTACATTATGAAAGGGACAGATTAAAGTGCTATCTTTGTATAGAAATGAGATACTTGATTCTAAGCAATGTGGTTTCATGCAGAACAAGCCATGCAGATAAAGAGAGAGGACTAAAAATAAAAACGCCTCCCTAAAGTGCCTTTGTATCTTAATAGAAAAAAGGGCATTTCACGGTATGGCCCG